TTATATTGTATTTTAACAACGAAGGTCTACGTTAAGACTTAAAAGGGTCTTCAAGCAATCTACATAATAAAAATCGATTTTTTATTAAAGTTTGAAACTCTGAAAATATGTCTACAAAGCCATTTGACGAAATTCTTAAAGAGAACGAAATCACAGCCATTTGGAGAGAACAGTGCCCAGTGTCCAATAATGGCACCAAAAACTCTGAAATCATTCTTCTCGAAACTATATTTTCGAAACTGACTTGAAATTTATAATAAATCTTTGAGATCTGATGTGTTATTCTATTTTGTTCTAATCTCGAATGAACAAGAACCGAGGAAAACTTGATACTTCATCTTTAAAGTATTAACAATTTTTAAAAAATCGAGATATTAACTTTTTGTTAGTTCGAACTATAACTGTATCCTTATTAAATAGAATAAATTTTGATGTCTTAGTTCTGGATAAGCAGAACAGTTGCTACGATTTTAGTCAATTGAATCTGTTTTTCGGACCAGCCAGTATGTATCGTTATCAAACTCTCACGTTTTTAAATATTTTATACTAAAAAAATTCGTGCATATCCTCGAAAGATGAATAACAAAGTGGGTGAAACTTTCGTCTTGAAAAGTCACATGGTTTTATCGTAAAAAATTGATAAAGAATGCTCGTTTTTCCGTTTAGTTTAATGAAAGATGCTTTTGGGACTCTCGGTGCATTCAAGCAAAAGCAGTTAGCATCCCCATTTTGCTACACTGTCTCTAACGTCGCATGTGGTTTATGCATGACGGTGCACCGGTGCAGACACTTCTTGAACTAACGATTTTTCTGACGGATGGATTTCCTAGTCGTGCAGGGCCTACTGTCTGACCTACACTGCCTTCAGGTTTTAATTCGCTGCATTCTTATTTTCTAAGTCTGTTAAAAATATTTGTTTACTCGACACTCGTTTGAAAGCGTCATATTTTGTCACAAGAAAGTCGTCAACGAAGTTGACAAATATCTAGAACATTTCTACGAAAACATGTAAATTATTTAACAATTGTTTGTACATATTACTTATTTACTCTTGAAATAGTATTTATAGTTGATATAGGTAATATAATGCATGCTTTCAACATTTCCAAAACCATCGAGCTTTCAACTCTGTTCGAAGCGATTCGAATTTCCCGCCATTTTACAGATTCAAAATACCATCGCTAGGAGCGCCTTGTAAGTTTCAGCGGCAAAAGGAGGCCTCATAAGGATTGTTTCTGGATATTTTATCCACAAATACAAATATTTTTAACAGCAATGTTGCTATAGCTCTTGCACTCGCCAACAGAGGGGCACGCTCGACCTGTACCTCTCTCACAAGTACTCGACTGGCCATCGAATGTCTTCCGTGGTATTCAACGTGAACAGCGACGAGTTTCATTTTTTTAGAGAATTCGGCTTTGAAAGTTTTATTTTTAAGAAATTTATTAAATGATAGAATCGAACACGTGAATAAACTATTTATATTACGGTCAATATACGGGGAATTTTACATATTAGTTGAAGAACTTAAAAAAGCAACTAGATAAGTCTCACGAGTACTTCAAAATGTTTACTCGGACATATTATTATTTATTAAATGGAATTGAGAAAGAGATTTTTAAGACAATCGAATTTTCGGGAATGTATTCCTTCGAAAGAAAACTTACATTCACTTTGAGGTGAAAAGTTTTATCATGATAAATTACATAATAATATGTTTACTTAATTTATATATTATATGAATACAAATTAATAAATTTATGGATTGAAAATAATATAATAGAGTAAGTGTAAAACAAACGAAAGAAAAAATGAATACGAGCAATAAAACTAAATGTAAAATGAAAATAAAAAACAAATTCAAAATTGTGACTAACTCTATTATGAGGAGTAAAGAACTATTATACTACATGCCTGTTGCAACTATTATATTCAAATTAATATCAATAATTACTAATAACTAACTTGAATCTAGTAACTAAATATTAATATACATGTGTGGAGGAACTTATTGGTTAATAGATTATGTTCTCGCAATTATCACAGGACTTTCATTTTTTGCCACAACCACGAAAAATCTAATTCGATGAGCAGGTAGGTAGCGGTGTCGGAAATAGGATACGAACGAAATCTGGTACGAGATAACACTCGTAGTTCCAGAAGGACATAATTGAAAATGTTCAAAGGAATATTGGGGGTCATCTACAAGAGCAGTGGCGGCAGTTCGAGTGTCGGATGGATGCGGAGTGGGCCAGGACGCAGGAAAAGGAAGCCATCGAAATGGCCGTTGGATCTTCCAAGGAAGCTGCCGTGAAAGCTCACCGCAACGGGGAAGAGATTTCAGGTACCATCGGTTCCACTTCAGACCCTTTTAGATAAAGAGTCAAGCGTTCACGTTGGGACTGCAAACAAGCAGCATGAATTTTAATGTTGCAAACAGTATGTACGGGGTTCCATTAAGGGGAGAAATCACCGTGACGGATTGAAAAAATCGAAATATTGTAGGATATTTGTGTTGAATATTTGTGCCACGCTGTAGTTTGGTTCAATGTTAACTTATGTGCAAAAGGGTTGAAAGTGTTTTGTTAAAAAAAGAAGGGGTTACTAGGGACAGCGAGACAACGAGGAGAGAGAAACGAGTGATTGGAAAAGACGGACGTGATTTGAATTTGTGTTGTCAATTAATGTGATTTTAATTTGTGTAAAAAGATTGTGTGCTTGGTGTATTTCAAATTCGTTCATATAACTATATCTTTTGTACATTTGTTCCAAATACAATTCTCTTTTTTAAATCCTACAATATTTTTGTTATCTCTTTCCAATGCTTGGGGCTTTAAGAATGACCTAACAAATTAAAGTAAAATTCACAATAATGACAAAGTTACAGAAGTTTTAGTAGACGCAGAAAATGTAATATTTGAGTAATGCTTGAAACTAACTGATATTTACTTCGGGACATTAATTTGAAACTTTTTTTTATTATTTCTGCTGTGGTAGAGGTTTCGCATGAATGGGAGGTGTTTTTCAAATAGTTTTGGAATTTCTACATATACTTCGCCAAAATACGCGTCGATTGCATTTTGAAACATTGGAATCCTCCAATCCGTTCGGGAGTTATGATGTTTTAAACATACGCATGAAATTTCAGGGAAACATATCAATGTATGGTCAGACATTATATTTTCGGTAATGAATTTTTTTCTCGAAAGTGCGTGGGATTTTGGGGGTATGTCTATCCACCAAAAATGATTGTAATTGACGCTTGTAACCGACAATAATTTTTTCAGAACGATTTGAAATTTTTTAATATAATATTTATAATCGTTTTAATATTTTTAAAACGTTCCAATTGGACGACACGAGAATTATTCTCGCATGTTTCGAGATTGAACCCCTCAATTTTCGATTTCGATTTTCTCTGTAACTTTACCAAAATGTCTCCAGCAACTTGTCTTCAAAAAAAATTATTTCTGATTTTGTCCGAATCCTACAAAATGCATTAATTCGAAAATCAACCAGAACGGATCTGACGTACTGCATGAAGAAGTAGAACCAAAGCTCAACGGAGGCCCTGAAATTCAAGACAGAGAGTTCTCGTCCGACGCGTCGCGAAAAGGGGATCGTTGTTTGCAGAAGACGAAGACGAAATTTCTTGCCCGACCACGTTAAACTTTATCCACTTTCGTCAGTAAAACAGCTTAGACAAGGAAGCCACGAATCTCGCAAGAGGATATGTTCTGATACCGGTTGGATCCCATTCTCCCGGACGGATGTAACTGTAGAAGCTCGCCACGGAACAACTAACACCGCTCCAAATATACTGGGAAAATGGATTTCTTGAATGATTGAAGATCTGTCTAGAACTTACTCGGAGGTTTGAAGCTTCGTTGTTGTATCGTAAACAATTCAGGAATGGTCTAAAGAATTAAGAGACAAGAGGAAGATATATAAACATACAGACTCTATGATACGAAAGATCGTTTTAGTGACCTGGCATCGTGCCTAGAATATTGTACGATCCCTCTTATAAGACTCTGGACACCTGTTTAAGCGTTTACTATTTAGATTAGGATGAAAATGTATGTATACCATTGTATCTTGCAAAGTACATTTGTTAGTTAGAAATATTAAGGTACGAAGGTTCTAGTCATAATCAAGAAGGAGAGAATGAATATTAAGCACAAGTCAGATGACTGATTTCTGAGCAAGAGTGATAACATCCGATCTTATGATAGATTCCTTGCATCTGTGGCGTCGTTTCTCATGCTCGCCACCAGAGGGGTCGCGTTCTCACAAGCGCTCGACCGAAGGAAGGACCCCAATTGTCCGATTTCGATTTTAACGAATGTTTGCAAGGTGATAGTATACAAGCAATGTGTTTTACAAATGAAACTAAAATTAAAACGTTTTATAACAAAGATACGAACTGAGAAATATGATAAAATCGTGTAAAAAATTGGGTTAATAGACGCTATCCCCAACAATGGATTGGTCGAGGTGGGCCAATATGCGTTCATATGCAACATATTTATGTTAATTTAAATAGGTAAGTAAATGTAAGCAATGAAATAAAAAAATAAAAGTCATTTTGTTACAACCTAATTTCATATTATACATACTCTGTGTTTGACGAGCCACACTTCGTCGCTAAATTTGTGCAACGCAATTTAGATACGCATTTTCCAAAGACGTCGAAACAGTTAACTGCTTAACTATAGATAAATAGTTCATGTTTAAATTTTGTCAACGAATTAACTACTGAAATGTACAAATATTCTGCCTTTACTTTTTAACATGTCTGTTTCTGTTTTTTTCCCCCGCCAATCATCATTCCCAACTTAAGTGCACACTAAATCTTGTAACTGTACGTATTCAGGAACATGAGTCGAGTTCCGTATCAATCTCCCGTTGTTTTTTTAACGAACAAAATGCAACTAATGTAACAGACTATTATTTTCTGAATAGTTGGTCCTCGGAATCTGATAATTGAGTTGAATTACGGTATACGCATGTTGAATTATCCTCACGTAACGTAAAACCCCATGATGTGTCGATGGTACGCCACATCTGCGCCGACGCCGCACACAACTGAAACAGAAAAACACCAGGAAAAGGGTTGAATGAACGCCCATTGCGTTTAATTTTTATTTTAATTGGGTATTCCACGACACATCTATCAAACGTTCTGCCTTTGTTTCGGAGGCGGTGAGGAAGAACGGGACACGATTTATGGAAATGCAAACGCTGCGGGAATAAGCAGCGCGATAATAATGCAATCCGGCGCGCGAGAGAGACGCGTTTCAAAAGAAAGATTTATCTTGTATTTTCTGAATAAAATTTATTACGAAGCTACGAAACCACGTTGATTCGTAAATCGGTCGTTTTTAATGGAACAATTCACATTTGTGACAATTCTTTTTTAACCGTTTCTCGTCCATCGCATCGTTCTTCCTACCAAACATTTTTTATTATTTGCACGATAAATAATGGAGCACTTTGTGCAACTAGATCAAACCATAGCTCTTAAACGATAAAAGGTAAACGAATTTTCTTTAGGCAAACTTAAATTGTATCGGATGGTGCATGATCTAGTATACTGGGAAAAATTTTAATGGGAGATTGATTGGAGGCTTCGTTAAAAAGTTATTAACAATTAAATTCAACAATTTCAAATCGTTCTGGAAAAATTATTTTAGGTTGTGGGGGTTAATTACAATAATTTTTCATGAATAGACATACCCCCGAAATCCTACCCAGTTTCTAGTAAAAAATTGGAGAAGGTGTGAAGTTTTTCGAAGGAAAAAAAAATTTCAAATCGTTTGGGAAAAATTATTTTTGATTGTGGGGGTCAATTACAATAATTTTTGGTCGTTACACATACCCCCGAATTCCTACCCACTTTCTAGAAAAAAATTCGAGAAGGTGTGAAATTTTTCGAAGGAAAAAAAAATTTCAAATCGTTCTGGAAAAATTATTTTTGGTTGCGGGGGTCCATTACAATAATCTTTGGTAAATAGACATATCCCCGAAATCCTGCGCATTTTCGAGAAAAAAATTTATTACTGGTGAAACTTTAAACGTTAATAACTTTTTAACGAAGCCTCCATCAACAAATTGGTATTCTTGATTTTCGTCTTCTTTTGGCCTCAAGAATCCCCCATTAAAATTTTTCTTAGATAGATGATGTACCATCTGATACAATTTAAGTTTGCCTAAAGAAAATTCAACACCCTGCATAATATGTTTATTTAGAACATGAAGGTGTTTCGATGATTTCATATTTGTATCATTTATTAAAATTGAAATTCAGAAATTGAGAAATTTATAAAACAAGATAAGTGGAATATTTAAAATAGTACAACGTAAAAAGTTGTGAAAAATGTTTACGCCATCTATAATTTTGTGCATTAAACGTTCTGTTCACGCGTCCTCTTGGATCACTGATTATAAAGGTCTTAGATTGCCTCCTACTTTGGAGAAAACGCATGTAATCGTAACAATTGTTCGCCAAAAAATTTCGAACGTATCTTACGATTTTACGATCGAAGTTTCATGCCCAGCGAGTGATATAATCCTTTCAACGGCTGATTGCATAAAGGGAACGTGCGTAGCTGTAAACGTTGAGTCTACATCCGCAGGGATATGCATAATGCGAGCATGCATGAACAGCGATTCTCAGTAAACGGCTAAGCGCGAAGCGTTTTATGGCTCCGAGCACCGAATGCTTTCAAAAAATAGCGAAAATCCGGGAAACCGGAAAACACAGTTTGTCAGTGCGAGAAACTACATAATCCATTCTCAATATTTTGTTTTATTCACAAAGCGTCGAACCGTAACACAGAATACCGACGATACTCACAATTCGGTATTCATCTTTCGAATTTTTTTGCGAAATATTTCGTTGATATTTTGTTCCCTCGAAAGGAAATATTTCTGTCAAAAAAAGTTCAGAACAAACATAATTAATTTTTCAGTCGTAAACTATTTTCGTCTATATTGTGTGTTCGATATATCTAAAGCTTGGGATCAATTATCTAAAACAACTGATACAGTACAAATTGTCCATAACATTATTTTCATAAATTTTTTAAATTTCTAATACTTTTAACTTCCGCATTATCTTTTCGTTTATCAATCCCTGCGAAGAAATCACAGAAATAATCCCAGTTTTGATAAATTTTATCGCTCCAATGAGATCCGACAAGAAACCGTATAGAAATCGATTTTTCCGAAATTAGATTTGCTCGATTCTACATAAATCCCTTTTCTTTTCAACACATTTTACGCTCTGTTCCATAAGATTTATTTTATTACCGACTCCTTTTTATCTTCAATTTTCAGTTCGTTTACCATTTTCTTACTCGTGTTTTCTTTTCAATTTGATTCGCGTATCCACCAGATCGGAATGAAAAAGTTCTGGCAGAAACTATCTTCAAAAAGTTAATTGGATAACGTTCTGTGCAAACACTCATATACGATTACGATCTATTGAAGTAGAATAACAATAGTCGTAGAACATCAGCGAGTAATTTACGGAGTCAATGCGCATGAACACACGCGCAATTGTACACGGTGTACTTGTAACAGTTGATTACACGTTACCAGCGTATTCCATTAATGCGATCAACGAACAAATCTCACGATCAGTACCAACCTTTGTACACGTCGATATCCAAATATCGAATAACATTAAAAATTATATTGCTATTTAGTTGGTATATTGCCGTTATTATTGTCTTCAAATGTATTTATTCAAGAAACGTAAAATAAAGTCTAAATCGTGCCTCAACTGTACAGGGCGTCACAAAAGAAGAGTTGTTTAAATCACTTTTAAGTGAAAAATTATAAATACAGATTCCTTTTATCAATAGTTTGTTCAATCTCTGCAGTATGAGCTGTACAGAGTGTCACAAAAGAAGAGCTGTTTAAATCACTTTTAAGCGAACAATTATAAATACAGATTCTTTTTATCAATAGTTTGTTCAATCTCTCAAGTTACACGTTACATATAATATTGGTCAACTGGCCACCCCTAACTGCTAAAAATATCCGATAATATACGACTAAACGTAACAGTTATTATTAAATAAATTTTAATTACAGACAAATAAATTAAATTTGAATTTCCATGAAAACTTTGTCTCGAACTTTACAATTCTGTAACACATCATAGAATGTGAGGAATTCTGTAATCATAACACCGTAGAATTTAAATTTTACTTCGTACAGTATGAACAGCTTCAGTGTGGCCGCAACTATGTTCGAGCAGGTCGACTCTCATTCCTTTTGTAAGTATACGTTTTCAAGTGAATATTTTCAACCGATATGCTTCCTTAACAATAAGGAACTCTAACGCACTTCCGTGCGTAATAACATTCCCGACACATCTTTGCCGCCGTAATCAAATTCCCAAAGATGGCGGGAAAGCTAATTTCAAACTTCTATTCAAGGATTTCCTGGTTTAGGAAGTTTTATTGAACTTCGACCCAGGAATTTAACTTATACACCCTGGGGACGAGCCGTATATGTAAATAAAATATAATCATTGGACGCGTGTATGATTTCAGAAGTTATCGACCGACGCTCTCGTAACAACTTCCCGGCTCATCTCTGATCCTGAATTCATTAATATGTTGAACAGCAATACCGAATTTCCAGTAAAAACTAGGCAAATATTAAGTTGCAAACTAAATACATTGGTAATTCTTTACACAAATATTAAATACTGCTAATTTTATATGAAATTCACTTGATCAACGATATATCTGCCATTTTGTTCTACGATCTCCTGCCATCTTTTATATAATTTTAATATTTCTTTGCAATAAAACTCGTCGCTATATTCTAGATACGTGTATATTTATTTCTTCGGTGCTTTTGAGCAATTTGCCATTGATAGAATCATTCAATATACGAGATAGATAACAATCGGATGAAATCTACTTGTTGGCGGATAATCGGCATAAGCACGCTCTATATTGTAATAATATACGGTTATTCTTCCATCTATTGTTCACGCACTTCAGTTGCATTTCATTATATGTTCAATAAACTAATATTCTAAAGTTAAATACTGCGTATTGCTGTAATTGGTGAATACAATAATTGGTGGTAAAACGTTCAAACCAAGTGGTGAAAAACTATTCATTAGACAAGTTTTTCCGTATTTTATGTACAACTTCCTGGCTAATTACACGTGTTGATGAACCCAATTTTAATCGATGAATGATATTATTCTGCATGTCTTTGGATAATGGTTTCATGATGTTATTATAACATCATGTTAATAGTTTCATGATATTAATATAACATCATGTTACTGGTTTCTTGATGTTAATACAACATCATGTTAATGGTTTCATGATGTTAATATAACATGGTGTTAGTGATTTTATGATGTTAATACAACATCATGTTAATGGTTTCATGATGTTAATACAACATCATGTTAATGGTTTCATGATGTTAATATAACATCATGTTAATGGTTTCATGATGTTAATATAACATCATGGTAATGGTTTCATGATGTTAATACATCATGTTAATGATATCATGATGTTAATATAACATCATGTTACTGGTTTCTTGATGTTAATACAACATCATGTTAATGATTTCATGATGTTAATACAACATCATGTTAATGGTTTCATGATGTTAATACAACATCATGTTAATGGTTTCATGATGTTAATATAACATGGTGTTAGTGATTTTATGATGTTAATACAACATCATGTTAATGATTTCATGATGTTAATACAACATCATGTTAATGGTTTCATGACGTTAATACATCATGTTAATGATATCGTGATGTTAATATAACATCATGTTAATGATTTCATGATGTTAATACAACATCATGTTAATGGTTTCATGATGTTAATACAACATCATGTTAATGGTTTCATGATGTTAATATAACATGGTGTTAGTGATTTTATGATGTTAATACAACATCATGTTAATGATTTCATGATGTTAATACAACATCATGTTAATGGTTTCATGATATTAATATAACATCATGTTACAGGTTTCTTGATGTTAATACAACATCATGTTAATGATTTCATGATGTT